TGAGTGCTGGGATCACAAGAAAGCAGCACAACACCTGAATACTTTTTGATGATTCATAAAGTGTCATCATCACCATCACCACTACCATCCTCCTCCTCAGCAGCACCACCACCATCATTCTCACCATCACCACCACCATCATCCTCATCACCACCATCATCATCACCACCATCATCATCCTCAGCATCACCACCACCACCATCATCCTCATCACCACTATCATGATCAATCATCATCATGATCAATCAATCAATCATCATCACCACCATCTTCATCATCATTGTCATCATCATCACCATTGCTGCTCTCAATCACAATAATCATTGCTTATTTCTCATTCCTCATCTTAATTAGCAAATTTGAGTCATATTTTATTGCAAATGAGAACAATCTTAGTTTCTTTGAGAACTGTGCACTAGTAGAGTAAAAAATAACATGTTGCAGTAAGAGGAAGGAAAACACATCAGTACAGGGTCCTGTTTGGCACTGCCTACCCTGGATCAACAGCAGATGTCACCAAAGAACCTTAGGATCAACTAATAGACTTGGTGTGTTGTTATTATAGTCCGATTTCTGTTTTATCTCCCAAAGATTCTTCTGGTAAGAAATTCTGGTTAAGAACACAGTCTCAGGGTCTCAGATGTGTATACACATTTTTTTTTTAAGTTTTTCAAGACAGGGTTTCTCTATGTAGCCTTAGAGCCTGTCCTGGCACTATCTCTGAAGACCAGGCTGGCCTTAAACTCACAGAGATCTGCCTGCCTCTGCCTCCCAAATGCTGGGATTAAAGGCATGAGTCACCACCACCTGGCTCTCAATTCATATTTTTTAGGGTCACTGTAAACGAGAGTATGTTCAACGATATCTTTCTCAGCTAGTTGGTATATAGAAAGATTACTGATTTTTCTGAGTTGATTTTGTTGGTTATTCCTAGAAGTTTTCTGGCAAATTTTTGGGATCTCCTGTATCTAATCTGTAAATAGGAGTAATTTGATTTCTTTGTATACCTTTAAAATCTGACGCTGAGAGATACTCTGGCCAAAGTTTTCTGTGTTGCACATAGTTTTTCTTTGTTCATCCTGGCTTTAGTGAAGATGTGTTTACATAACAGCACTGTGTTATTGGCTCTCTGAGGAGCTTTGCTCGTCACTGTTAGTAAACTACAGACCTAATACCATGTTCGCTTTCTTTAAAACAGCCTTTGTGTCTCCGAGTGCTTGCCTGTGCATGCACACAGATCACTGTTGGTCTGTTTTCCCTCCCATTTAGATGGTTTTAGTCAACCGTCTGAATCTAGACTCAGAAATAAGCCCCACAGAAGTACTGCTCCTTCGTTTTCCCCTGCTCTGCCCCAACCCTCCTGCTAGCTCCTCCAGCTGAAAACTCATTCTCCATCTCCCACTGTTGCTGTCTCAAGAATTTTAGATAAATGGAATCGCATCATATATAACCTTTCAAAGTAGACTTTTGCTAATGTGATAATCTTGAGGTCTACCTAGATTCTTGTACATACCAGTCGTTATTTCTTTTCATTTCTGAGTAGTATTCCATTGTATGAAATAAAAATGCTAAGGATATATTTGCGAACCGGCATTTTAGGAATGCTGTTCTCCCGCCACCCCAGGCCTTTTCTTCTTATCCTACAAGGCTTAGGAGAAGGCAGAGCTCTGTGTGCCTGTTTCCCTGAGCAGTTTCTGATTATCTCTTGACTCCTGTGTTATGGAAAGTCTCTGTGGTGAGATTCCTGGAGAGGTCTACGAAGATGAGGTGGTGAGTGGGTGTGAGTCAGTCCCCTGGGTCTGAAGTCCACAGCACTTCCAAACCGGCCAGTCATTCTGTACCTGTAGGATTCCATTAGAGCCTCACCACGGGAGCCGGCTTCACCCCTGTGGGCCTTAGGATGACTTGGAGGTCTTGCGAATCCAGCTAGAGGGATGAGAGAAAAGAGGAAGGTGCACATTTGTAGCTTGTCCATTTCCTGAGTCACCAGATGAGGAACATGGTCCTTTGGCTCAGGACACAGGCCGATGTCATCGCTTCTGGGATGGGCACAGAAGCAGATAAGCCTGACTCTTGCTTCCCAGATATGAGCAAAGGCCATTGCTCTCCCTCTAGGCTAGGTGTAAGAAGTCATCCTGACTTCTGAGCCTGGTTCCTTTGAAAAGAAATGCGGTTTCTGCCAAGTTCAGTCCATAGTTTTAGGAAGCTGCTGAAGGTCTTGGGATATAATATTTGTGTGCTAGTGGAGAAACCGTGTCTTCAAACACAGCGAGATCAAGTTGGGAGTCATTAACAGAGGTCTGAGTTGTGGCAGTAAATAACACACTATGAAACAATGAAACCTAATAAATTAGATGTCAAAACAGGAACTACTTAGAGATGAATGCAAACGCAGCCACAGCGTACCGAGGCTGTGGGATGCAATGGGGCAGCGCAGAGAGGGATTTTAACTATTCATGTGTACATGAAGACTGTCCCATCTCAAATCAGCAGTGTAACTTCAGGTTTTGAGTGACTAGGAATTGGAGAGCCAGCTAGCACAGAGACAGAGATAATAGCATAGAACGCTGATGAAGGCACCATGAGTAGAGAAAAGGAAAGTTGTAGGGAAAATGAAACAGTTTTTTTTAAAGGGCTCACAAACTTGGTAGATCTACAGCTCGATGAATGTAATATGTGATGGCTGATCCTTGTCAACCTGACTGGGTTTAGAATCACCTAGGAGATACATTTCTGAGTGTTGTTGTGGAGTTGTTTCTAGAGAGATTTAAACCCCCCCCCCATGAATGAACCATCCCATGCTCTGGAGTCCCAGACTGAATGACACAGAGAAAGGAAGTGAGCTGAGCCCCAGTTTCCAGTGCCCCTTGTTTGCTGGTCTCCCTAGGTGCGGTAGGCGCACGCCGCTGGGACGCCCTTGCACGCTTCTTTGATGTTGCCCGTTTCAATTCTTTCTCTTCACCTTCCTGGTAAACTGATATTCCAAACCATTTGTTCCTCATCTATATCCATCCAACTTTTAAAAATGTTTAACATATTCACAATGTTCGGACTCCCCCACCACAGGTATGAACACAGCAAGTAGCTTAGACCGTGGGCAACACTTTGGGGGGCACAGGACCAGTGATGAAACGAATTGAGAAGATAAGGATCTTGATCCTGTCTGTCCCGTTGCTTTTATTCTGTGCAGCCTCTTGCCAGGACAAAGCCCTTGGCCAGTCCCTGCTCTACTGTCTGCCTTCCATTGAGTTCTATTGAGGCTGCAGTCAACTGCAAGAACGGGCTCACAGGGAAGCAGAGAGTTCTTTGGATGCTCAGGACTGTTTCTCCACGGTTGATCTTGGCTCTAGTGAGTTTACTGTTTTGGTGGGACTAGGCAGTTGTGTCTTAGAAAATGAACTATTCCCGTTAGGAAGATGTAGTTTGAGAACATATACCTGATGTCATGATTTTTGTTTGTTTGCTTTTTTTTGAGACAGGACCTCATTATGTATTATTGGCTGGCCTGAAATTTCCTATGTAGACCAGGCTGGCCTTGAACTCATAGAGATCTGCCTGTCTCTGCCTCCCGGTGTTACAATTGACAGTGTGTACCCCCACACTCAGTGGTAGTAGTTTTTGAGTTGTTATACGGAATATAATTATAAGTAACATGCAATTGAGATTTCCTCCATCTAATGCCCCTTTACCTGTGTGGCGGGTCAGCAGCGAGCCTGCCAGCTTAGGAAATTCTGCAGACACAAAGTCTTTCAGAGAAATCTAGGATTCCAAGGCACGCCCACCCTGCCAAGTGCCAATCAGCAAAGCCTCCTCTCCACTATGCTTATCGGACACCATCAAAGATGCAGGATGCTTCCCTCTTCTTCCATGCAGCTGTTCTCGCTCATAACTGCTTATAACTGGTTTCTAAAGAGGAAGGAAAAGTTGGCTACACCCAAAGAAGTGGCAACAGTTGCCTTTGCATCCAGGAAAAGGCACTGCACTTGTGGCCATTAGCGCGGACACCGTGTGCTGTGCTCAGCTGGCCAATGCCTAGTTGTGGCAATTAGTGCTGACACCCTGTGCTGTGTTACAGCAGGCCAGCCAACGTCTAATTTCTAGAGTTTGGATTGTAGACTATGAGTGAGTTGGCTGTGGACCGGTTCCTGTTCTGAACTGCAAATATTGCTGTTTATATGTGAAAACTCTGTCCAGTTGTTCTGCACAAACTTGGCAGTGCCCACTGGAGCTACATCCAGGCTAGACCACAACAGGCAGAATGCACAGATCCTGCTTAGTGGGGTCAGCTTGAGGATGACACACCTCAAATAGGAGAATCAAGGAGAAACAGTGGTTAGTCAGTGACTGGAGAAAGCGTCAGATCAGGAGTAGGGCACACTTTCACTTTGCTTCCGTGAGAGGAGGGGTTTTATTGGCCTTCCCTCCAGTCACCTCTGTGTATCCGTGACAGAAAGTCAGTTTGAAGAAGACTGACAGGAAAATCTTTTCAAAAGTTTTATAGGGGGAAAAAAATGAGAAAAGGCTGTCCTCTAGAGAGGCTGTGAGCCCTGTGGTGGCCACAGGGTGAGATGAGAAGAGGCACGACTCTAGAGATGGGCCTGTGGGAGAGTGAGGTTGCGCATGCTAGGATTTACGTTCTGCCCAGGCTGCAGTCGGTCTCATTTCCCGCAACATCTTTCTATTTCTATAAGGTGTTTCAGAAGTTTCTCTAGTTTTTTTTTTTTTGATTAATTTGATTTTCATTAGGAGGTTCTGTCACATCTTCATCTATTTCCATGTGACCAAACTCAAGTTACTGTAAAGTATCCAATAAAAGGTGTTATATATGCGAGCACTTTGAACTCACCTGGATCCAGCATCTCCCTGTGTCTGAGCACACGTCGCTCACCAGGGCTCTGCTCAAGAGTAGAGGGGACAAAGGTGAGCCCTGGCGGCTGCATTGCCATCTGTGGAATCACATCTCTAGCTGTTCACAAAGAGTGTCAATCACAGAGACCTGGTGAGTAGGACCAAATAGTTTATTATTGGAGAACTTAAGTATTAAAGGGGCCACGGTGCATCATGGTCCCATCTGGGTACCACGGTGGTGGTCTGTGACCCTCTAGCCTGGGTCATAGTACAGCTTGTTTCAGTACAGGCACGCCAACTCCTCCAGAGCAATCTTGGAGTTTCTGATCTCAGCGATTTCAGTACAGGACTCCTCTTCCTCCTCCGCCTCCAGGAGTTTTACTTTTCCCTGATGGTCTTCCTCTGAGCAGTGTGGAAAAAAAAAAACACAAAAACCAGAAATAGCGAATTTAGGGTCTCATTATATTTAATAAGACCAAGCTGTCAACAGTCTCATAGAGCCATGAAAATCACGGGTAAGGTAAGGAAGCAAGCTAGGTAGCTAGACCTATGCCTGCATAATATCAAATGCACAGGAAAGAAAAACTATGCTTAAAGGGCCCCCATGTTACAGGGAATATTCCAGATCTGCCTTGAAACTGTAATGGCTTTAGAATAGGGATCCCACATTTCCCCTTTTGATTAGGGCCTGTAAGTTATGTAACTAAGGCCTGCTTTGGAGCTTAAAGAACTATGGGGGTGATCCCCCAACTCCAAAGCCTGCTTCACGAAAGCCCACACTTCTCAGAACGTTCTTGATATATTGTACTATATGATATCAGAATCTTAACAGATCAGCATCAGTGATATTTTTTAAACTGTGTTTCTCTTTTTGTTTTTTCTTTGTCCTGAATTAGCCCCAAATACTTTTTCATAACCCATGTGACTATTGTAACTGGGAACCACAAACACCGATGTTTTCATATCCTCTCTCAAACAGAAATAACAAAGATGATGCGAGAAGGGAATCTTGAAACAGGAAGTGGTGAATACACTCAGATTTTGTCTTTAAAGGAAGCATTAACACTGAATAGCTCAAATGTATTTTTCCAGTGATAAGAATAGGAATAAATAATAGGTAACAAGAACAAGTCACTGTTAGAGGCCAGCCTTTCTCTTACTGTCTTTGGCATATAGAAACCCAAGACAAAAACCAAAGGGAAGAGTCTCTTGTTCAAAACAATTCGGATTTTCAACATGGTGACTACAGGGCAGTGAGCCAGGCACAGGGTGCTATGCTGATATAGGCCCCATTCCCTTGGTAGCAATCTTGGGCACACCCAGAGCATCCACTCCCCAGACATGAAGCTCTGAAAGCATTGTAGGCCCAGCCACCTTTTATTTCTGTTACTGTACTCTAGGTCACTGGTCTTCTGTCCGCCACGTGTGGACAAGGGTCCTAGGTGGGAAGCGAGGAGATGGGGTAGACCTGTTCGTAGGAGTCAGAATAGCGTCTCTCTGAAGATAACAGGACGTCTTTTGTAGCCTTGAGAAACTTCTGTATTACTTCATAGGGAACCTACAGTGCCTACCTACAAACCTACAGTCCCTTCAAATACAGACAATCCCAGAGCCTAAACTCGAAAGCATTCTAGGTAATCTTTGATTGTATCAGCTTCAAAGTCTGATTACATCACCTGCATCAAACAAAATGTTCAGCGGACGCCAGGGTTTCAGCAAAAGAATACTTTGCCGTTGTCTACCTTTCAGGGTTTCAACATTTTTTTTTAGTCAAAATAGATGTTGTAGTTTGAGGAATACTGTCACAATATCTAAATCTTAATATATATCTGAAACAGAGCAGCCGTGGACAGGGGTCACAAGGTTGTCACTTAAGTGTCAGAGCAAAAAAGTAGAGTGTAAAGTAGACAAACTATTCTAGATCTTTTGGGATGGTCCCCCAAGACCAGACCTCTCTCAGACGATCAAGACCACAGTTTCTCAAAACCCTTTTCCCTTGACTTCTCTTCCACACGAAGTGTGGCCTTCCTTGACATCTGTTCCCAAGGGCAGATTATTTTCTGTGCTGGTCCTCCAATCAACTTCGTCATTACATTGCTTGGTGTGCAATGGCAGCTGGAGACAGAGCCATCTGCCAGGAAGGGAGCATTCTAAAGATGGACATCAACAGTGACACACACATGTGCAGAGGAGATAAGGACCAGAGCAGAAGTCTCAGCCTTGACATTTTTTTCCCCCTAAAGATGCAGTGTCTCCTGGGTCTCAGGGAGCTAGCATCTTCAAAGTGTGGCGATGGCCAAGGTTTTGAAGTGGGACTCGGAAGTGCGGTATGCAGACTGCACACCTCGATGTTGAAAACCCCTGAGGTGGTGATTACAGATAACAGGGCATGTTAAGGAGGGCAAGGGACTTCCATCTGATCCCTGTGCTTTCTCTTTCGTCTCTCATGACCACCATGGGCACCATTTACATATGTTCATGACTGAGACAAAACTTGAGTGAGAAAAATCAGTATTCTTAAACATCTTTGCACTGCTCCATCCCTGAAGTCTCTGGGGGCATTTCTTACATAATCAGATCCCTGCCACCTTCATGGTTCATGGGTATCCCCACATTCCTGGCTTAGCTTTAGCCTCAATTCAGTCCTCATCTACCTTAGTTCTTGGCTCTGTGACCCCACTGGCCTTATTGCTCTCATAAATAACACCATATTGCCTTGACACTTCTAACCTAAACCACATGGTCTGAGAGTTTAGGGAACAAGTGTTATCATCCAGAAAATACAGCTAGGACAGGATGTAGATTCGACTTCCCAAATAAGTGGCACCTCCCACCCTCTGCCCATGGCTTTCAGTATTACAGGATCCTGCTATTTTCTAGAGCTACCTTGGCACTTTGATTTCTTTCTGCATTGATGAATCATCAGGAGAAGGAGAAAAAGAAGGAAGCAAGGTCCCAGGCTGAAACCAAGGATACTTGCCACAAAGAAGATCCCGGGCCTGGGGTTCGAATGGACTTCTTGCAGGAACATATTTTGAATATGGGAATGACAAGAAGGATCCTGTCTCTACTGATGATGCCTGTGGGTGTTCAGGGTGATGAAGTCACAGCTTCAGGAACAATGGGAGATTGTGAGAGCCTAGTATCCTCCTTGGAGGAGATATGTCACTGGGCCTTGGAAGGTTGAATTTGTTCTGGTCCCTCCTCTCTCTGTTTCCTTGGTACCCATGAGACAAACAACTTTCCTGAGCCATGCCCTCCCCCCATGCTATTTATGCCTTGCTACAAGTATAAGCACAATGAGACCAGCTGACCATGAGCTGAAGCCCCCTGAGTCCATGAGCCGAAATAAACCTCTCTTAAGTTGTTCATCTCAGGTATTTAGTCCCACCCAGAAGTTCAGGCTCCAATTTCACCCAGTATCAAATGTTTGCTCCACACAGGCATTTTTTTTTATTTTTCCATTCAAAAATTTACACTTCCTCCCCTCCTCCCACCCCCCTTCTGCTCCCATACTCACCCTCCTCCTTCCCCCTTCCTCCTCAAGAGAGGGCAGGGAACCCTGTCCTGTGGGAAATCCAAGGCCCTCCCTCTCCATCCAGGTCTAGGAAGGTACGCATCCAAATAGACTAGGGTCCCAAAAAGCCAGTACACGCAGTAGAAACAGGTCCCAGTGCCATTATCGATGGCTTCTCAGTCTGCCCCCCATGGGAAGCCACATTCAGAGAGTCCAGTTTGATCACATTCTTATTCAGTCCTGGTCTGGTGTGGGAGAATTGTCTGTATTGTCAATCGTGTATTTTAATAAAACACTGATTGGTCAGGCAGGAAGTAGAGGCGGGTCAACCAGACAGAAAGTAGAGGCGGGGCAATGAGAATAGGATAAGGCTAGGGAGGAGGAAGCTCCCTCCGCCATTCCTGCCCAGAGCACCGAAGAAGCAACATGTGAGCTGACAGCTGAAAAAGGTACCAAGCCATATGGCTAGCATAGATCAGAATAATGGGTTAATATAAGCTATAAGGGTTAACAAGTAGTCTGAGCCAATGGGCCAATCAGTTTATAATCTTATGGAGTCTTGTGAGTGATTTTCTTTGGGACTTGCCACTGTGGGGTACCGGGTGGGACAGATGCCCCACCCCTGGCCATCATGCTACACTGGTCCAGCTGGATTTGGTGAGCTCCCATTAGAACAGGCACACTGTCTCAGTGCGTGGACCAACCCCTCCTGGTCCCGACTTCCTTGCTCATTTTCTCCCTCCTTCTGCTCTTCAACTGGACCTTGGGAGCTCAGTCCATTACTCTGATGAGGGTCTCTATCTCCATCCATCTCCAGATGAAGATTCTATGGTGATATTCGAGATAATCATCAGTGTGATTGTGGAACAAGGCCAGTTCAGGCACCCTCTCCTCTGCTGCCCAAGGACCTAGCTGGGGACATCCCCGTGGATACCTGGGATTCCCCCTCTAGAGCCAAGTCTCTTGCCAACCCTAAAATGGCTTCCTTAATGTAGATATCTTCTTCCCTGCTCCTATATCCGCCCTTCCTCCATCTCCACCCTCCCACTCCCCCAAGCTCTCCCCAGTCTTTCCCTTCTCCCTTCTCTCTCCCCCTCTCCCCTTCCCCCAATCCCATGTTCCCAACTTTTGCCCGGCGATCTTATTTGCTTCCAGTTTCCAGGAGGATCTATGTATGTTTTTCTTTGGGTTCACCTTGTTATTTGGCTTCTCTAGGCTTGTGAACTATAGGTTTAACATCCTTTGTTTATGGCTAGAATCCACTAGGCATCCTACTGAATGGGAGAAGATCTTCACCAACCCCGCATCAGACAAAGGTCTGATCTCCAAAATATATAAAGAACTCAAGAAACTAGCCATTAAAATTCTAATTAACCCAATTAAAAAATGGAGTACTGAACTGAACAGGGAATTCTCAACAGAAGAAGTTCAAATGGCCAAAAGACACTTAAGGTCATGTTCAACCTCCTTAGTGATCAGGGAAATGCAAATCAAGACAACTTTGAGATACCATCTTAAACCTGTCAGAATGGCTAAAATAAAAAAAACACCAATGATAGCCTATGCTGGAGAGGATGTGGAGTAACGGGAACACTCATTCATTGCTGGTGGGAATGCAAACTTGTGCAATCACTTTGGAAATCAGTTTGGTGGTTTCTAAGGAAATGGGGTATCAACCTACCTCAGGATCCAACAATACCACTCTTGGGAATATACCCAAGAGATGCCCAATCATACTACAAAAACATTTGTTCAACTATGTTCATCGCAGCATTATTTGTACTAGCCAGAACCTGGAAACAACCTAGATGCCCCTCAATGGAAGAATGGATAAAGAAAGTGTGGAATATATACACATTAGAATACTACTCAGTGGTTAAAAAACAAAACAAAACAAAACAAAAATGAGATCTTGAATTTTGAATACAAATGGATGGAAATAGAAAACACTATCCTGAGTGAGATAACTCAGACCCAAAATGATGAATATGGTATGTATCCATACAGGCATTTTTGCAGGGACATCTTTGTACTTTTCTCATACATTGTGATTGCTGAAGCAAATCACAGAAAGCTACCACAACAGAATGTTTTCTCTTGTCTGAGGAGATGGCTCAGTGGGTAACAGTGCTTGCATTGCAAACACGAAGACCTGAGGCCGAATCCCTGGAAACTACATGAAAATCTTGCATGTCAGGAACAGATAGATTCTGAAAGTTTACTGATCAGGCAGCCTGGCTGGAATGTGAGCTTTTGGTTCAGTGACAGAGCCTGTCTCAAGGCAATAAGACAGAATACTAGAATCTTAGCATCTTGCTCTGGCTTCCATGTGTGTACAAAGCAGCAGTGGTAAACTTACAAACATGTACCATACATGTGCCACATACACGGTCCAGAATCACAGTGTCAGTACGCCACGTTCCCTCCTGATGTCTAGAGAAGAACACTTCCCGCCTCTTCCCAGCTTCCGGTGCTGTCCAACAACTCCGGGCTAGTTTTGTCTTCTGGAAACATTATACAGTGTCTGCCTCCGTCTTCACGGGGTATCTTCCTCTGTGCAGAACCCGTCTTCACACAGGGTTCCTCTCTCTGTGTCTAAATCTCCTCCCCTTGTAAGGCTGTGATTCATTGGATGATAGTTCACCCTTATTCATTATGACCTCACTTTTTACATCCATAATGACGCTATTTCCAAATGAGGCCACAATCTGTAGTTCCAGATGACAAGGATTTTTTTGGGTACATGATAAAGCCCAATACATATTCATTTTTGAACTGCCAATAAGTAATTCTCACCTACAGAACTTCAATTCTTAGGTCCGATGTTTCTATTAACCAAACCGTCTCGCTCCAGCATCCTTTTACCCTGATTATCTGTCTCATTGTGACAGTAGCACAGCATAGAATAGCACAGCATAGCATAGCACAGCATAGCATAGCATAGCACAGCACAGCACAGCACAGCATAGCATAGCACAGCACAGCACAGCATAGCATAGCACAGCATAGCACAGCATAGCATAGCACAGCACAGCACAGCACAGCACAGCACAGCATAGCATAGCACAGCATAGCATACTCCTTGCCATTCACTGAACCTTTCCTGGCCATATGCTCTCATCCCCAAGACAGACTCAGTCTTCTCAGATAGCTAGAGTAGAAATATACACACAAAGACAAAAAGTACAGAAAACAAGATACACATTTAGTCATCCATGAATATGTGAAATCTTGGAAGCATTATAAATTATATAGCCTAAGTGAATTGTGTTCATTTTTTTATTTCCAGTACAATTGGTACCAGGTCTGCAGCAATCCATGCTTAGGGTGAGTGCTCTCAGAAAGCAACTGAGGTGCACAGCTTCATCCTGCGTGTGAGCAGTACTATTTCACAGAAGAGGACCCCAGAGTGAATGAAAAGTGAAAGCAGAAGGCTGGCTTAGCATGCTTTCTGGTCGGCACTGCAGACCAAGCTATTCCTTCTGCGACGCCTTCCACACCATGGTAGATTGTAGTCCTCTAAACTGTGAGCCACAGGGAACCTTGCTAATGTTTCTCCTTTGTCAGGCGTTTGGTGACTGGGATGGGAAAGAGACCACGACACACACAATGCTGCACAAATGGTCCAAGACAAAGGCTGAGAACCAAAATTTTGAGTCATAAGTAACAGTCTCTGTTTAATAATATATTATAATAATATGTCATAATATATAATATTAATATAATAGCATATTATATATTATAGCACATATAATATATCATAATACTACATTATTATATATTAATACAATATGTATAATATTATATTAATATTATATATTATATTACAATATATTATTATAATATGTATTATTATTATTATTATATTACTATAAAAAACATGTTTTCCAGGAAGTAGGCTTCAGGCAGAATGGCAGTAGGCAGTTGACTGACGAATACTCTCTCTGGACTGAAGGAGAAGGGCTCCTTTGATCCTACAACCAGCACTGGAGTGTGAAGAACATTTCACAGCTGTGCAAATGGAGACAAGGAGCCTTTATATCCTTGCTGGAAAGAGCCACCAGACAAGAACAGTCCCATGCATATCCACATCCACCATCGCTATAGCGTTTGGGTGTCTGTTTCACTATGGCCCCCTCTGATTTCCTTGCTTGTGTTTTAAGTATCCATTACCATTAAGCTCTGAGAACTAATTCTTATTGGATGTTTGCATGCTCCTTGTATATAGAAAACTTCAACAGAAGCGCTAACAGTACAAGGTGCAGGCACAACCCTGCATTTAGCTCTTGACTTTACAACATTTGCTTGCTCCTTGCCTGCCTCATCACCTTCTGCATTTTCCTCACACTCCTGTGAGTACCCTTGCTGGCTAAGGTGGTCCACCTGGTGGGGTCAATCAGATTCTGAAACTCTGGCAACCATGTTTACTTCTCAGGCTGCAGGATTGGACATTTATTCGCAAAACAAGGCAAGGGAGGGTCATAAGGCAGTCATAGAAGGAGAGGAGAGATGATGTGGGCCCAAAAGAGTTACTAACTTCTGAAGGTGGAAGAGGACGAAAAATATTCTGTAAGTGAGTTAGAAAAACTCACTGGAAACCACAGAGACCAGAAGTAGGTGGCACAAACATTCCCTGAGTGATGAAAGAGTAGACATGCTAATTTAGGTTATAGGGAGACTGTCCTTTCATCATACAGAATAAATAGAGATGCTTCTGATGAGGGAAAACAGCAGAGCTGTGGTTAGCAGATCTGCCCTGACAAGAGAGCTGAATGAAGTTATTCAAATGAGAGGAGATTGTCTTGGTTAGGGTTTCTACTGCTGTGAAGAGACACCGTGACCACAGTAACTCTTACAAAGGGAAAACATTTAACTGGGGTGGCTTACAGTTCAGAGGTTTAGTCCATTATCATCATGGTGCAACATGGCGCTGTGCAGGCAGACATGGTGCGGGAGAAGTAGGCAGGTATCCTCTCTCTTGGCTGGCAGGCAATAGGAAGTGGGGTAAAACACTGGGTGGTATCTTGAGCATATATGAGTCCTCAAAGTCACCTCCACAGCGAGACACTTTCTTCAATAAGACCACACCTACTCCAAAAGGCCACACCTTCTAATAGTACCACTCCCTGTGGGGGTCATTTTCTTTCAAACCACCACAGAGATGGAGCAAAAGGACGTTGGGAGCATCTGCAGTGAAGAGAGAGAGAAACGGCATGGGCCAGCACAGACGCATGTGGAGCAGATTAGCACTGAGTTTTAAAATTATGTTTGCCAATTGCATCCAAAATTTAATGTTATTTGGTGTGGTTCTAAATATATATAGGGGATTATTTAAGAAGTCATTTAGTAAATGGCCTCAAGAGGAATACTTCTTTGTGCTGTCTAGTTTCATATCGACTTGACACAAGCTAGAGTCATTTGGAAAGAGAGAACCTTAATTGATAGAATGCTCCCACAAGACTGGCCTGTGGGTAAGCCACTGTTACATTTTGTTAACTAGTGATTGATGTGGGAAGGCCCAGCCCATTGTGTGTGATAGCACCCTTGAGCTAGTTGTATTGGGTTCTATAAGAAAGTAGGTCGAGGGGCTGGAGAGATGGCTCAATGGTTAAGAGCATTGCCTGCTCTTCCAAAGGTCAATTCCCGGCAACCACATGGTGGCTCACAACCATCTGTAATGAGATCTGGCACCCTCTTCTGGTCTACAGACAGAATATTGTATACATAATAAGTAAATAAATGAATATTTTAAAAAAAGAAAGTAGGTCTAGCCATTCTTGAGGTACAAGCCAGTAGGCACCATTCCTTGTGGTCTCTGTATCATCTCCTGCCTCCAGGTTCCTGCCCTAATTTTCCTGGTTGATGGAATAGAATTATAAATGGAAATAAACAATTCCCCCCCCCAAGTTGCTTTTGGTCACAGTGTTTTATCACAGTAATGGAACCCTAACTAAGACATTGTACATTCCCCTAAAGGAAGTCAAGTATCTTTATCTGCTGAGCCATCTTGCTGGTCCAGATTTCTGAAAAATGTTTGGGAAAGCTTCAAGAAAAATATCAAAGGAGAAATAGAGCAATTAAAAAGAGAGTGTACAGAAAACAAATAGTGAAGAGTGAGACACAAGCCCCGACATACCGGTAGAGGAGAAACTCAAAGTAACACAATTGGTGTTAGAAAGGATTCGCTAATAGATCTGCTTTGGAGATATAAAATCACAGAAGGTAGAATTTAGCTAAAGGAGTACTGGCTCCAAAATACTTCAGAGATGCGCAATATGCTAACTGGGCCTGTTAGAGGCAAGCAAAAGTTACGCTAGGATATAAATGTCCATCCACTAGATACACACCAAAAGAATCTGCTTTTACTAGGCAGCTCGAGGCGGTAGCTCTGCTGACCCTGAGCACACCTGGACAGTGAGGAGGAGAGGAGAAAGTCCCAAAGAAAGCAGCATCCATGCTTAGACATTGAAGAAAGCAGCATCCACGCTTAGACATTGTGGTCCTCATGCTTTCAGGTCCCAAGCTTCAGCATCCTCAGTGTGGGAAACCCTTCCCGCCCTTAACGAGGCTCCCGCAGCAGGAGGAGGTCATCTTCCAGGATCCAGCCGTTTAGCATCTTCCCAAACGAGCTGACAATTTCTAGACAGGAGTGCAAACTGCTGGATTGGACAGTGGAGGTGGTCATCACGGTGGTGAGGACACGCACACATGTGATGAAGACTGACTTGAGAACCTTGCTGCCTCAGATGAAAACCTCCCAATTATCGCTTAGCTATAGTTTTTCTCTAGCCCCGGCTTCCTGCAGAACACTGTCTTCCAGCCTGTGTTGCTGCCTTCCCACCTCCTGGGAAGCCAGGCCTCTAATCCCACTACACAGGAAGAAACTGATGCAGAGGTAGGTGATCGTGGATGGAAAGATACTAGCACTGAGAGAGAACAGAAGCATGCATCGCCTTAGAGATTTCAAAATGTGCCTCTCCTGATCAAACTTGCTTTCAAATTATTCTGTGACATCCTAGTGAGCCAGCCACTTGGAAGAGCACCATTCCTGTGAATGTCTTCATGGGGAGCAATCTTCTTTATGGCTTCCCGAACCTGTGTGAAATCTGGTTTCTGCTGGGCATAGGGTTCAGCGGAGTTAGAATGTCCCTGTTTGAGCTCTTGAGGTGCAAATCTTGTGTGCCTGGAGACCTGCTCCCCTCAGTGTGGCACTGGGCCTGGATGCCGTTGCCATGTTTCTCATGTCCCTGCACCCTACCCATCCCTACACCCCATTTCAAGCCATTCCAGTCAACATCCCTGTCTCTCCTCTCTGGGAAACTGCACCCTCTGAGAAGAAGAAGCAATTCTAATCTCCCCTCTCTAATTACGTGTTTTGGAACAGCAGGTTCATGGGGGCTTGGCTACAAGGCAGTGTAGTTGTCCTTTCCCAGGCTTTGCTTTCAGAGGTGTCAGTAGACTCTCAAAAGGTACACAGCATCACCTTATGATGACATTCGTCTCTCCAGGGAATGAGCTTCTTATGGGTTAAAAAGGAATCCTCCCCCCACCAGACAACATTTTCCTAAGCTTGTATCAGAGCATGCTAAAGTTCTCAACACATGAGTTTGTATGTGTATGAGTGTTTTCTGCCTGCATGTATGCCTGCCTGTATGCCAACATTTATGTTTACAGACATGTCAGTGTGGGCCTCCTGACTGGGTCCCCAACTTCTGGTGAGCTGTGAAGTTCAACTGTGGGACTTAACCCTGGCTTATCTCAGGCTCCCATCTTGGGCTCATTGCTCCCGTTGTGAGCTGCAGAACTCCTTATACCTGTTGGCTTCTAGCACAGCTCAGCCCTCCTCCCTGGATTCACAGTTCCTGCCACCCTTGGTTTGTGGAAGTCCCAGTGCATCTGCCAGCCTTACCCCCCTCTCTGTCCCTAGCTTGCACTGTGTTGTGACACATGCGACTCTTACAATTCTGTGTTTTGTGGATTTTTTTCCCCTCCAGAATTTTCCTCCCTTAATTTTCAATCAGTTGCCTTTTTTAAAAACCCACACCATTTGCCAATTCAATAAAATAAGTTATTTTATTAACCCTGCTGAGTTAGCCCTGTTGCTGCAGACCTAGAATCCAAATGACTCAGGAGGCTAAAGCAGAAGAAGTGTAAGTTCAAGGCTTACCCATGCCAGCTTAGTGATATTCCGTCTCAAAAAGCAGAAGCAAAAACAAACAGTGAGTGTGGCCCCCTTTGGGAGCGGTGCTATTAGGGGTGGCTTTGTTAGAGTAGGTGTGGCCTTGTTGGAGGAAGTGTGTTATTGTGAGGGTGGGCTTTGTGGTCTCTTTTGCTCAAGCTACACTCAGTGTGGCACACAGTTCACTTCCTGTTGCTTGCGGATCAAGATGCAGAACTCTCAGCTCTTCCAGCACCATGTCTGCCTGCATGCCACCATGTCCTGTCATGATGATAATGGACTAAACCTCTGAAGCTGTAAGCCACCCTAATACGTTTTTCTTTCTAAGAGTTGCCATGACATGATGCCCCTTCATAGAAATAGAAACCCTAACTAATCCATTCTCCTAGGGCAGAGGCTAGCCAGCTCCTGTCTGGCTCTCACAATCTCCCATTGTGCCTGAAGCAGTGACTTCACCACCCTGAGATACCCTACCAGTACCAACAAGGGGCAAAACAGTATATGCCCTTCTCATACTCAAGACATGTTCTCCAATCCTGTTTCAGTGACCTTCTTGGTGATCGGTGTCTTCGTTTTCATCATGGGAGACTTTGTTTTCTATTTTCTCATTAACGTGGTGATTCAACAGTGTAGACAGAGAAGAGCACTCCATGGTAGAGAACAGCAGGATCATGGTATGCTGAGAGCTAGGCAGTGGGTGGGAAGAACTTGTAGATGCTGGACTGCATCTGTATCCAGTCTTCTCAAATTTTCTGAGTACTCTAAACTCTCAAACGCAGCGATTTTAGATTAGAAGTGTCAAGAAACACAGGGCAAATGTATATCCACGATCAGGAGTAGAACATGAGCTCAAGAATGAGGCTATGATTGGGGCAGGAATTTTAGGGTTGTCCAGAAGGTAGAAAGAGAGTCGGGATTTGATGGTCTGGAAGCAGATTAGAGAGCTCGGGGGAGCCTATGTCAAGGCATTTCAGGGTGTGAGTTTTCTTATTCTACCCTTGTTTCAGTCATGGCCACATGCAAATATTATCTCAGTACAGTTAGAAGTGAAGATGACCGTGGTGGCCATGAGACAGGGAGGAGGAGGAGTTGGAGTCAGGTGGAGGTCCCTTGACATCCCTAGTACATTCTTCTGTATTCTCCATCATATGGGGAAACTCCCAGTGTGTGTACAGTATCTGCAGATGGCATCCTGAGTCCTACCTGAGAGCCTTGTCCATGTTCTGAAGATGTCAAGAGATCTCTATGATTCCCAGAAGACATCAAGTCCTCTGTGTTTTCTGGTAGCAAACACTTCAAGGCAGAGTTTCTGCTCTGAGCCTCATATAGCACTCACACACGTGTCTGTCCTTGGAATGTTCCTGGTTTGATGACTCAGTGGCTAAGTTGGGACAGAGTGATGTCAAAGTTGGTCTGGATATGTGCTAGGAAGTGTGGAAGAATGGCTCTGGAAACAGGTGTGACTGGGTGTGGAGGGGACACTGAAGAGAACATAGCTTTGGAAAGCTACAGTTTCCATCCTGGCGAGGGATGATGCAGCTTTGGGAGGGGATTATTTAAGGAAAATGACCTCTCATCCAACTGCTTTACACCCTACTTGATACCTTGATAGCTCCGTGACAGCCTTGTGGTCCATTTCCATAGATGATCTAGCAGGTTCAGATAGGTATTTGTATCTAAATAATGTGACTGTATTTTTCAAACCAATGGAGGAAAAATTGTAATACTAAAGGGTGACTGGCAATGACAAAACATGCTTTGAAAGATCCTGGGATCTGATGCACAGTTTATTTGAGGGAAATAATACATAATGATAATAATAACAGCTGTTGAAGTTGATGTATCTAACAATTATCCAGAATGCTTCCAGTTACAAAATCTGTGATTGTCAGTACTTGAAGACACCACAGGGTTTACATAACCAAAGCCTCTACACACATAAAGTAACAGAAAGGAGTCGACAGAAGTTTCTCAAGGTTATAAAAAAAAAGTCAGAATGAACAGATGCAGCATGAACCTATTTTGAGTCCCATGGAAAAGTCCACCACTTCTCCACATTTCCCACCCTGGTCTTCTCTTGGAGATGAGGCTGTTTACAGAAGTTGAAGGGTCTGCTGGGCCTGTAACCCTTCGAGTGTCACATCTGTGAGCGGATAAGCTGGACATCCCAGGGCTACTACCACGGCAATGGCATCCAAGCGACAGCACAGGACACTTAGCCTCTTTCCTAGGCACCTTTAGGTCTTAGATTTATAGTCCATCCCCTCGTTCAAAAGTGTTGAGTCCATAAATGAATTAATCCATTGATGAAATCAGAGCACGCAGGACCCATCCACCCCACCTCGGAACACTGCTGTACTGAGGGAACAAGCCTCTAGCAAGTGAACTTTGTGGAGATATTTAAAGCCCGTATCTTAACGGGCATCCATTTCAGGGCCTCTAGACGAAGCTACAGTTACCTCTGTTGGTTGTCGGGAGATCGGGATCTGTTAGATGTCCTCATAGACTAGATGGCACCAACTGTGTAATTCCCCATCACCAGGTGGTATGGGATAATTGTCTGTATTCTGTCAATCATGTATTTTAATAAAATGCTGATTGGCCAGGCAGGCAGTATAGGTGGGAAAGCCAGACAGGAAGTAGAGGTGGAGCAAAGAGACTGGGAGTATTCTGGGATGCAGGAAGCTCCCTCCACACTCCTGCGCAGACCACCGAAGAGGCAGCATGTAACTTGCCCAGCTGTGAAAGGTATGGAGCCATGTGGCTAATGTAGATAAGAATAATGGGGTAACATAAGTTATAAGAGTTAACAAGAAGCCTGACCTAATGGGCCAATCAGTTTATAACCTTGTGGAGTCCTGTGTGTGATTTCTCCTTGGGATTTGCCGGTTGTGGGGTACTGGGTGGGACAGATACCCCAACAAGCCAGCCCGTCCCACATGTTACAACCAGGTTCCTGAGATTTTGTCATGGGAAAGCAAGGTATTTTCAGTTCTGTTCTCTGACTCTATGTCCCTGTTTTTATGGTCAGACCGAGAAACATCTCTTTAGAGTTTCTGAGTTATCATCAACCAGTAAGACAGACATTCCTGAGAAAGCCATCTGAGATTTCTCAGGACATGTTTCTTTGCAGCTTGTCCGTGGTTCAGATGCCCCCAGAAAGCTCCTGTTGTCTTTGGATTATAACTATAACAAGACCCCAAACTTTCTATTTCTGTTTGTTTTTTATATTGCTCAAAAGAAGAGCTGATGAAGGCGAGACTCCTGAATGAGGAAGAGGAGGCTGGAAGTCTGGTTGCTGAGTTCAGAGACCCTAGGACATCACGGAAGGAACCAGTGTGGCTGTGTTGAAACCGTCTATGCTATTGTCCAGGCTAGGGTTCTAAGACCACCACAGTGGTGACCAGATGGGTCAGCACTGCATTGTGTCCTCTTTTCCCACAAGGTGTCCCATAATAAACACTGTTCTCACCCCGCTCTGTGTAATTGAAGTCACTTCTGGAATAGGTAGATACAGAAGTCGGTTCTTGAGTAGGTAGATATAGAAGTCGGTTCTGGAATAGGTAGATACAGAAATTGGTTGGAAGTGGAATATTTTCAAGCTGCTAATTTTAAAATTTTGACCAAGGGGCATTTATTATATTTCAATTTACTTCTAAGCCGAATGGAATCTTTTAATGGTTGAGTTACTGGGGCAGCACCTCAGATGTTCACATCCAGATAGTAAACACGAACCTCTAGCTCTTGGTGAAGCCTGTCTCGCACCCTCTCAAGCACAGGTATTTTTTTGTTAATCAATCAATTAATTGTTCCTAGCTCAATAATAGTTTCCCCCTCCCTCCTCTCCTCCTAGCAACCCCCCCCCATACCCCACTCCTTCCCTTTCTCTTCAGGAAAGAAGCACAAGTATTTTATTTCATTTTGTTGATTAACTTTTTTTTTTTTGATGCGGACGACTGAACTTAGGTAATGTGAGATGTCCTTCTGTATATGTGCTGCATTTATTGGTTGATGAATAAAATTGTTTGGGCCATTAGCTTAGTAGGATAAAGCTAGGTGGAAAATCTGAACAGAGATATACAGAGAGGGTAGGTGGAGCCAGAGAGATGCCATGTAGCTGTCACAGCCTTGTGATACATAGATTGATAGAAATGGGTTAATTTAAGACATAAGAGGTAGTTAATAAGAAGTTTGAGCTAATAGGCCAAGCAGTGTTGTAATTAATATAGTTTCTGTGTGATTATTTCAGGTATAGGTGGCCAGGAATGCCCACACTTAGGGTCTTACACAAACTATGTAATCACCTTACTACTGAATGACACCCCTCCAGCCTTATAGTGATGGTTTAAAATGAAATGAAAGCACACAGGGTTTAGTTGGGAAAACAATTTTATTTTACTTGTTCTTAACTCCTCTGGCTGTAAGAGCCTCGAGATCAGAAGTTCCTCCTTCTCTGTTGGGCAAGATCAGTGTTGAAGCGGACCTCAGCCTACTGCTAGGCTAGTCTACAAGGGTGCAGAATATTTTTTGTTTTGCTCCAAATGTTCTAGCTACGATGAAGGTGGGAGCACATTCTTGGCTCTTCACCTTGGAGATGCTCATGTGCGACATCTTGGAAAACAGTTTTGAGTGATAGATTATATATAAACTGTTCTCCATGTCCGCCATTGCTGTTCTTCACCATTGCGAAGCTACCCGTCTGAAGAAATGATGACCTTTTCCAGGAGGAGAATAAAGGGAAGACAAATGACAGCGGGTCAGTACGAAAGTCTCTGCTTGTATCTCCACATTCTACCCCAGTGTGTGTCCATCAGTGGGAGAGGAAGGAAATGAGGTGGCTATTGATCCATCTGTGGTGTGGCCAGTGGGATCATACACGGTGCAGAGTAAGACCAGTCTTGTGATGCTCGGAGAGCTTGCACAGCAAGTGGGCTTAAAATTAGCCTCCGTGGACAACATGGCCAAACTCTCCAGTCCTTTCCTTAGTAGGAAGTGTAGTGATTGAATCAGTGACGGCATACATTTTCTAAATAACTTCTCCCGACTCTTGGGCGTGTCTGGAGTACTACCCTCCCATTACTTCTGTATGTTTTTGCTGACTTCTGAATTTATCTTTTTTGTCTACCTCCACACTGCTTTCCGCATTCGCTCTACTCCATTTCAGTTAGTACACGAGCGTTTTACCATTTTATTCTTCAAAATCACCCTTAAGAGCTTGTGTCACCTACTCAACAATTTACCCGTACTTGGTGTTAAAGGAAAGGTGAGGATTAGAGACTGGGGCAAGGTATAAATAGCAGAACATTTGTCAACCTGTGTTACCCCACAGCTGTTCTCTCCCAGCCCTTCCGCAGGACCAGTTTCTCTTTGTGTCTCTTCCATTTTGTCCTGTGGCTCTCTACCTGCCCATCCTAACTTTTTCTTTTGTATCTGTTGAAAACTTTTCATTTCTGTCTCCTACAAACAGATCTTCCTGTCACGGGAATAGACGGGTGACAGGAGAGAAAGTCAATTAAGCACTTCTTCCCACGGAGGCAAAGTAGAACGCCGTGCACTTCAGATTGTATGTTTTCTTCACAGACAGGGACTCAGATAAGTTTCTTGCCTGGCCACTCTGGCTACCTTGATTCTCATCTTTCATCTTTGCTGTAGTCTGGGCATTAGCTCACCCCACCAAACAGAATCCATGTTAGGGGTTTAGATCAACTTTGTGTGTGTGTGTGTGTGTGTGTGTGTGTGTGGTTTTTATTTCAAAGGGAAATGCCCAAATTTCAGCATAGAACCCTTACAAAATTTTGTTACAGAAACAGGTCACTCTGGGTTGTAAGTACAGACAGGAACCCTGTGCACTGAGTAGCCTTACTGATAGTAATATGAACCCAGTTATAATAATTGGGCATGTGCTGAACTCTTGAAGCACAGTACACAGATGACATCAATTCTTCCTGCTGTTACATATAGCCCATGCATGGTGCTTCCTTGGTGCAAAACAAGTGTTGTGTTTTAAATTTCCATACTGTAATTTTTTCCTTCCTTATACAAACCACTGTGTTTACAAATACAAATGAGTTTACTGATAAGTAGAAAAATACCTGAAATCTTTGGTGATATCTGGAAAACAGTAGTAGAAAGGCCCTTGCAGATCTCCACTTGGTGTAAAATTGTGTGTGCTATGTATGTCTTCCATTGCTTTAGAAGCTATAATGTTCGTGGAATTTCTCTGGCTGGAATGATCACCATTGATCCATCACAGATAAGGGGACACTTAATTTTAGAATTTGAAATCTACACATTCACTGATAACATCTAATGAAGTTTGGCTCCAACATGTCAACTGCTTTTTACTGTTTTCAAAATACATTTGCACAAAGTAGGAACATTGGTTTTCTGTGCCAAAGCTCCCTTTTCCTGCAAGAACACAGAAGTAACAGAGACTGCCTAGTCTCAGAACGAACTCTGGAAGAACAGTGATGCCTATGGGAATAAAGAATCAACAAACTAACTCCCCTGGAGTGAACTTTTTCCTTGAGTGGACGGATGCAGGTTGACCTGGGGACTGCATGGCCGTGAGTGTGGCAGGCATTGGGGAATGGGAAGAGGCTGCCCTGGAGAAGTCCAAACTGCATTCCAGACAAGTTCTGAAGCACAATCATTTTCCAGTCCCTTCTACGACTTGTTCTACAGTTGCCGAAGGCTGTGGCCACCATCCCAGCTACGGGTCATGTCTGCAACTCTTCATGGAAGTAAGAATATTGCTAGCTTGAGATGTTAAACTATAAAAAATTGAAAAGTGGTGAGGACATAATTAAAATCCCAAATTATCGAGTTGGAATATTGATTTACTAGGAAGGCAAGAAAGAAGAACAGAGGTATAAATATTGCTGATGTTCTAAAGGATACAGAGGCAGGGTCTATCTATCAGGGTCCCAAAGAAAAGAAGCAGACATGGAGGAAAAATAACAGATGAGCTAACGGGAATAAGTAAGGAAGTAATAGTATAAGTACATCTGTATTAATAACATAGAGAAACAAATAAGCTAAGAGAAAGAAGTCAAACTAATATCCCGAGGTCCTAATAGGAAAAGAGCCATAGAGAGCTAGTCAACCAAAAAAAAAAAAAATCAAAGGACTCACATCTAGACCTATCAGAGGGAAATGAAAAAGCACCAAAGCAGAAAGGCACGTCTCTGGGAACCACAGCGGCCACTGTGGCTTTCAAAACATCCCATGTGACGTGCTATGGTCACAGTTTCCTCAATCTCTAAGTATTTCCTAGTTTAACTTCTTACTTCTTCTCTGATCCACAAGTTACGAGTGTGCTATTTAATTTCTACAAATTTGTGGATTTTGGACTTGGGCTTCCTAAGGATTTCTAAAGTTTATCCCACTGTAACTGGGAAAATTCAGTCACTCCACCTCTCTACAGATTCTTCTATGCCAGGGGCTTCCGTGGGTGACCCATACTGTAGACAGTACCGAATCTATGGACAGAGCGTTCCGTTGGGAGCAGTTGAGCTCTGAAACACGCCCCTGGTTGACTTTTGTTTTATGGGCAGCACAGGTGGTGTTTGTGGTGCCCGGGTTGGGTTTCACTTGGGTCCACCCAGTTCAAATGAAGGGTTTTTGCATGAACATTTAACACATTGAACAGGAGCAACGAACGAGTCATTGTTTTGGAAGCAAGAGGCAGGCTTGTTTGGCTTCTGCTTTCCCTCAGAAGCAAGGGACTTTTTGCCTATGCCCTAAAGGGTCACTGAAGCCTCTTGCTTCTTATATTAGGAGATTTAGAAGAAAACAAGGCACTGTGTCTCTCTCTCTCCTAGCAGCTGCTTGACACCTCTTGACTTCGATTGACGTAGGATCTTAGAGTGGTCTCCTGTGCTGGTCCCAGGCTTTCTGGCTAGTTCCCAGTATAGGCCCATGAGATTGTGAGTGGGCACCCATGTCTACAGAGCTCAGCTCTTCCAAACTCAGGAGGCAGCCCATGCTCTATCTGCAGCAGTTTATTGGGACTCCATCTTAGTGCTGGTTGTGAGTGGATTTTCTGGCTGGAATTTGCACCACTTGGATGCCTCATGGTTTTAGTTAGAAGAATGAGATGAAAAAATAAAAATGTATTTTCCTCATTATTGATACTTGAGAACATTCCATGTAGCTTCCTCCCATCTCAGTAGAGTGGGAAATCCAATAATTGTTATTTTAAAAGCCTCACTTTAAATTGCTGATGTCCAAGTTTCATCAGCCAGAGAATGTTTCTGTTTTAGCTCCCTCCTGTTTCATCTTGTCCCTTCTCAGGCCTGAACTTCGTTAACTGAAAGCTAGATTTTAAAAGCAAACTTATTCTTGTCTGCCACCATGTTTGGCCAAAGTTCCTCATCTTTTTTTTTAAGGCACATGGGCAGATCTGACCAGACAAGTAACCATATTGGGTAGTGGTTTGTTCAAGTTGGTTTCTGGTGAGCTGCTCTTCAAGT